TGACATGTGAGAGAAGAGCCGCTGAGACCCACCCTGTGTTTGTGACAGCTGTGAGTGGCTGCTGAGACCCTCTGTGCTCAGGACATGTGGCTGAGGCCACACATGCTCGTGACACGTGTGAGAGGGGCTGCTGAGACCCTCCGTGCTCGTGACACGTGGATGTGGCTACTGAGACTCCCCCCACTCATGACATTTGTGCCAGGCACTGCTGAGAACTCGTGACACGAGTGTGTGGAGCTACTGAGACCGCCCCCCCCCCCATGATGGGTGGCTACAGGGCTGCTGAGACCCCCCACACTCACAGCACGAGTGTCCCCAAGTCCCTCTGACCCCCCCCACCTGACACAGCCTGTGCTGGGACACCCCCCCTGGGTAGGACAGCGGAGGGGGGTGACATGGGGGGGACACACAGGAGGGGGCGTCACCCCCCCCCATCCTGGGGCAGCCACGGGCTTCACACGCTGATTTCTCACCGATATATTATTATAATTATTAATATTAATAATAATCTTTGTCTGTAAAAGATCTAAAAATGCGCAGAAATAAAAAATAAGGGGGGGAAGGGGGGACGCCGACTCTGGGTGGCTCCTGGCCAGCGGGCACGGCGGGGGGGCCATGGCACCCCCTGCCCAGCGAGGGGTCCCCACCTCCTCCCGCCCCCCATCCCTGCCTGGGAATGGGGGATACATTCCCGAAAAACTGGGGGGGCTGGATGCCCCACCAGGGAGGGATAAGGCCACGGATGGCGGGTGGAGCGGGGGCTCCGGACCCCCTCGGGGCCCAGGGGTCCCCCCTCAGCCCCTGAGCCCCCCCTTGGGCCAAGGGGTGTCCCCTCTCTGTGCCCCCCGGGGGTGGTGGGTGCCAGCCCTTGGAGGGGTTGATCCCAGCCTAGGCCTGGCTCCAGAGGGGTTGATCCCAGCTTAGGCCTGGCTCCCAGAGGGGTTGTATTCCGTCTCTCCTGCCGACACCTGGGAGATGCGCCGCGTGGATCGCCACAGCCGCCGGTGGAACTGGCCCGGACGCACCTGGGGAGGGGGAGGTGAGAGCCCACCCCGGGCTCTGACCCCTTCCCCATCCCCAAATCCTTCATCCATCCTCAACCCCTTCTTCATTCCCATCCCCTTCCAGATCATCACTCAGTTCTCCATCCCCATCCTCTTCATCTTCATCCTCATTCCCATTCCCTTCTCCATCCCCATTCTCTTCCAGATCCTCATCCACTTCTCCATCCCCACTCTCCTTGCAGATTCTCATTCCCTACTCCATCTACATCCCTTCCCAAATGTCCATCTGCTTCTCCACCACCATCCTCATCAACTCCTCCATCCCCACCCTGTTCTGAACACCCACCACTCCCAGCACATCCCCTTCCAAACCCATCCTTAGCTCCACACACACTCACCCCCTTCCCCTTCTAAATCCCCATCCCTTCTGCCATCACTGTCCCCTTCCGCACCCACATCCCTTTCCCAATCCCCTCATCGCCATCCACCCACCACCCCTTCCCTATGTCCGTCTCCATCCCCTTCCTTGTTCTCCATCTCCACTTCCCTCCCCTTCCTTATTCTTCCTTATTCCATCCCTTTCCCTATCTCCACTTTCCCCTCCATCTCTACCTCTTTTCCCTTCCCTATCTCCATCACCACCTCCATGTCTACCTCCATCTCCACCTTCAACTCCATCATCCCTTTTCCTACCTCCATCTCCACCTTCACCTCCATCCCCTTTCCAATCTCCACCTCCATCCCCATCTCTATCCCATTTTCCCATGTCCACCTCCATCCCTTTCCCTATCTTCATCTCCACCTTCTCCTTCATTCCATCTCCAACTGCATCCCCGCCTTCATTCCCATCCCCATCTCCATGTCCACCTCCATCCCCTTCCCCATCTCCATCTTCATCTCCATTCCACCTCCATCTTCATCTTCCCCCCCATCCTCACCTTCATTCCCTTCCCAGTCTCCCTCTCCATCTCATCCCATCCCCACCCTTATCCCACATCTCCTTCCCCTCCCCACCCCTGTCCCCCTCAGCTCTGCAGAGGCCACGTTGCTGGCCCCAGCCCGGCAGCACCCCATAGACCCTGGGGCCCCTCCTCCCACCCCCCTGTGTGGTCTCACTCACCTCAGCGGGCTGCCCAGCGCCCACCACGATGAGCTTTCCATCCTCCAGCCCCACCAGGATGTGACTCTTCTCCTTGGTGACGGACACGCTGTGCACGGGCACCCTCATGGGCACGGGGGGCACGGCCGCCCTGAGGCTGCAGAGACGAGGGCGGGATGGGACCTGCACCCCGAGGGGGAGGGACAAAGGAGGGCCCCCTCCCATCCTCTACTCCATCCCAATCTTCATCTCCATCTCCCTTCAGATCCTCATCCACTTCTCCATCCCCACCCTCTTCTCCCCCTCTCCCCCCATCCCCTTCCAGACCCTCCCTGTCTCCCCCCTGCCCACCCGTGCCAGCTGTGCCGGTACCTGTGGAGCTCCCGGATCTCCAGCCCGCACTGGGTGGTCCCCAGCACCACGAAGTCATCGGTGAGGCACATGGCTGTCACCTCCCGCTCCAGGGGCACAGATGCCAGGAGCTTCCCGTTCACGGAGTACAGGTGGAGCGCGAACCTGTCCTGGAAGAGGGCAGAGGGTGGGGAGCTCACCCTGCTGGGGACAGACAGGGGGGAGCCCTGGGGGACCCCGGGGTGTACCTTGAGGCAGGGCCGCTGGCCAGCGGCGCTCTGGGCCACCACCTGCCCCTCGGGGCCCACGGCCAGGTGGGCCAGCACGGCGGGGGGACAGCTCTCGCCCGGCGGCCGCACCGAGCGGATGAAGAGCCCCCGGCGCACCGTGTGGG